CGGCTGCCCCCCACCCGGATCCGCGGTGTGAAGCCCTCGGCGCCATGTCCCAGCATGGCTGGCCGGATGACGAATATGGTGGACACCAGTGAGCTGCTAGATCCGGTTTTCGTTGGGCGGTCCCTGGCTCGGATCTACGTCGGCAAGGACTATGGTGGGCTGGCGGCCACGCTTGATGGTGTGGCGGCGGTGGCTCGGGCGACAAAGCGAGCATAGGGTGGGCAGCTAGTGGATGGTAGTGGCGGTGGCGGGCCTTGCGTGGTGGTGCGCCTAGGGAGCGCAAGCAGCACGTGGTCAGCGTGGGCTACACGATGGCGGCGCGAGTAGGGTGTGCAGGCTGCTCGTGGACGGCTTGGTCATGGAGAGAGGCGGCCGTGACATACGGACGTGGTGATTGTTTGCTCCCGGCAATAGATCTATTGGTATCCTAGGGGCAGCGGCAACCTGAGCGTTGGTGCAAGGATCAGCAAGGAGGTTGATCTTGTTGCCAGCGGCAGCCCTAGGGGTGTGCGGCAGCGACAGAGGACTCCAGCAGAGGCGATGACCATCCCGACGACGAGGGCTGCCCTATAGGCGGCGGAGGCCTAGGAATCTAATAAAGCGGTAGCGGATCCTGTCGGCTCGCGTCTGATCGACTAGTTCTGACTAGACACGATGAATGAAGGTGGAATAACCGGTGACATGTGGTGTCAGCTCACTTGAAGCAGATGAAAATGGCAGCAGCGGGGGGTTCGCAACGATGGCGTACTAGGGGGTGGCGGCGACTTGACGACTTCTACTCGCCCAATCTGGCTGTTTCAGGAGAGGATATCGGGAAGCACCGAGGTCGAAATTCTTTCTTTTTTTTGTGTGTTCTCCTCTTTGTTGAGGTGTGAGTCTAAGTACTCTTGTATTTCTTTTGGTTGTGTATATCCTTCGTGGATATAGAGTCCGGATTAACGAATTCCATTATCTAAATATAATATATGATGGCATTTCTCTAGACTTGAGAGACTTGGGAGTGGATTTATTGTGTGAAGCTGTTACGGTGCAATGGCATAGGAGTACATGTCTAGGTTGGGCGCGAAATTTGGCGTCGGAGGACGTCGTCGGACGACGAACAGCCGCGTGGGACCCCAGCCCCCCGCCGCTGCCGGAGGTTCGAAACACTGCGCACCGTGGTCGACCGACGCGTGGGTGAGCTCCGCCCGGCTGTGCAGGTGGCGGGCGGGGCGCGCAGCCCAGTGACCCGCGAGGCCACGAAGGTGCATACACGTTACACGGTCACATATTGAACATTTGAACGGAGTGTTCGATCGATTTGCTTTGCGGTAGATCTGTGGATTTGTGAAATATAGCATGCCTTGTACGTGTTCCTCAGGAGTGTGCCCTTTGAGCTGCATCGTCTGTTATTATTCATAGAACCGTTGCTCGCTTGGTTTGCAGGCTGCTGCTGATCCGGGACTGGATGCTCATTCCGCCGCTGCCGAGAATTTACACAGTTTCGGTAAGATTTCCACAATTGCGTCTGCCAGTTGTCACTATCATTTTTAACCTTGCACGTCCACCACTCCCAACAAATGTCAAATGGATTGGGAAATATTGGGCTCATGGGATGGGTTAGTAAATTTGTCTCAGAAAATGCTGGCTATTCGCGTGGAGTACTAGAAATCTAGAATGAATAGAAGGGTTGTTGCTTGTGTTCCAATTCATTAATAGAAACTGTCAGTCATGTATATTGTGTCACTCTGTTTGTAGATCAAGAAGATGAGTGGGTGGGACATGTGCCCTGTAACTGTTAATACTGTTTGAAGTCATCTCCTTCTGTTTTAGTTGGAAGAAAGAAGAAGAATCATGTGCAGGTATCATATAGTGTTTTTCCTTTACCTTGTTTTATTATCAGTAGGCCTCTCTTGAAACTATGATGAGGAAATTTGGAATGTAGCAACCGTTGTGAATAATTGCAAAAGCCGAAGACATGGTTGACAAAGTATTAACGAACATGTGTTATGTTTGGTAGGTTGATGGCAATTGCAAAAGGGTTGCTCGTCCTGCTGCAAAGAATGACAGCAAGGAACCTGCTCCCCAAGAAGAAATCTTTGAGGCGCTCAGAAAGATACCCAGGTTGGAGCATGCTGATTTACTGAGGGCATACAGCACGCTCATCCGCGATGATCGTCTGTTCAGATCTCTCATGGCGCTGCCTGAGGACATGAGGAAGGACTGGCTCCTCTTGGAGATCAGGAACCAGTGAACTGAGGTTTGTCCTGTTTGCGTTGCATGTACACGGCAACTGACACACAGCATGCGTGGCAATTGGCAATGTCCTCGAGTGATCTGTTTATCTATAGTGCTGGTTATCGTAGGCCGTATTCGTTTGCCAGATGTAATTTCCTAGCCTCTTGTTGGGCCATGTAATGCAATGTCTGTGACATGAGGAAGGACTGGCTGCTCATGGAGCTCGGGAACCAGTGAACTGAGGCTTGTCTTGTTTGCGCTGCATGTACACAGCAACTGACAGCATGCTTGACAACTGACAATGTCGTCGAGTGATCTGTTTATCTAGTGCTGGTTATGTGGTATTTGTTCCCAGATGTAGTTATCCTAGCCTCTTGTTGGGCCATGTAATGCAATGTCTGTGACGCTTCCCTAAGCTAGTATGAATCCTCTTCAAATTGTCAATATGTGCTGTTATTTGCGTGTGACTATGTGAGCACATGAAACTAGTGGATTCCATTGAGCTAGTCCACACCGTTTGCCAATCCTAACATGTCATTGTTTCATCAATTTCATCAGGTCAGTGCACCCATAAATTTCACTACTCTTCAAGAGGGAACTGCAGCAACCTCTTCCGGATTTGTTTGCAGGAACGCTTCTGAATTTTGTTCAATTTTTAAACCAAAACCTAACACAATCTGACCTCACACATCCCTTCAGCCCGGCCAGCCCTTTAGCATACTTAGGCCCTATTTGGATCCATTAATAATAATAGTTAGCTAGCTACTAGCTCATAGCTAACTATTAGCTGCTATATTGACTAGTAAAATAATTGTTAATTGGGTATTAGCTAACAAATAGCTAAACTATTAGCTGGATCCTGCTTGATTCAAGGCAGCTAATTACTATTAACTTGTTTTGCCCAACTAGTGAAATAATTATTAATTAGGTATTAGCTAATAATTAGGTAAACTGTTAGCTGGATCCTGCTAGGATTCAAAGCAGTTAATTACTATTAGCTTGTTTTGCTGAACTAGTGAAATAATTATTAATTGGGTATTAGCTAACAGTTAGCTAAACTATTAGCTCGATCCTGCTTGGATTCAAAGTAGCTAATTACTATTAACTTGTTTTGCCCAACTAGTGAAATAATTGTTAATTGGGTATTAGCTAACAATCAGCTAAACTATTAGCCGGATCCCATTTGAATTCAAAGTAGCTAATTACTATTGACTTGTTTTGCCCAACAAGTGAAATAATTGTTAATTGGGTATTATTAGCTAACAATCAGCTAGCTGAACCGTTAGTTGGATCCTACTTGGATTCAAAGCAGTTAATTACTATTAGCTTGTTTTGCCCAACTAGCAAAATAATTTTTAATTGAGTATTAGCTAACAATTAGCTAAACTATTAGCTAGATCTTGCTTGGATTGAAAGCAGCTAATTACTATTAGTTTGTTTTGCCCAACTAATGAAATAATTTTTAATTGGGTATTAGCTAACAATATATCAGCTCAACTATTAGCAGGATCCCATTTGAATTTAAAGGAGCTAATTATTAATTCTCTCTGTCCCACTATATCTGTCGTTCTTGCAGTGTGTTTAAGTGTCTAGATTCATAGCATGTGTAACGTCCCGCCTCCTCGAGGCCAGGCCCGCTTACATCTGGAAGCTTTTCTAGAACATAGATCGCCTCACGCATCAACACCAGCCTTTTTTCACAAGACTTTGTCCTCACTCATGCGCCCGAGAAGAACTTTTCCTATTCGGTCACCCATCGCTTCCGTGCCAAGCACGCTTAACCTTGGAGTTCTTAAGAGATGGACTTCCAGAAAAGAAGTTGCAACTTATTGGTACGAGTATCATATTAATCCTATTAAGGCTTAGGCCGGGGTGTTACATCCTCACCCCCTTAGGAGACCGACGTCCTCGCTCGGCCAACCCCTGTGCCAGAACGCCCCTCTTGGCCACGTCCGTGTGTCCAGTGTTAACGCGATGTGCCATCTTTGGGTGACCACTGGGTCCACACCAGCCATGCGCATTCATGCTCGTGGTAACTTACACATACGCGCCCGTGAAACCGCAAGGGTCGGCTCGATACCATTCTCAGTAACGCCCCGCCTCCTCGAGGCCAGTCCGCTTACATCCGGAAGCTTTCCTAGGATATAGATCGCCCTCATGCATCAACACCGCCTTTTTTTTGCAAGACTTTGTCCTCACTCATGCGCGCCCGAGAAGAACTTCCGGCCGGTCACCCATCGCCCGTGCCAAGCACGCTTAACCTTGGAGTTCTTAAGAGATGGGCTTCCAGAAAAGAAGTTGCAACTTGTTGGTACGAGTATCCTATTAATCCTATTAAGCCCTAGGCCGGGGTGTTACAGCATATTCCATGTACCCGGACACACCATATGTCCAGGTTTAGAGAATCTTTGTTGTACCTGGTTAGAAAGCTAAAACGACACATATAACGGGACAAAGGGAGTACCTATTGGCTGCTTGATCCAAACATGACCTTAGCGGGTCTGGACCTAACTAACAGTGTCTGGTAACTTACGCCGGCCCACATGGCCTAGCACTATCGAACCCGCACCCACGCCGCAGTCGAATCCTCCTCCCAGCATAAGCTGAGTGACAAAATTAAGCTGCAAACCTCTGTTTCTTCTCCTCACGCTCCTTGCATGCGCTTCCCTCGCACAAAACTCCAGAACGCAAAACCCCCCCAGTTTGGCAAGTCCCATACCACCTACCCGGCTACCCCCATTTGAATCTCCCCCTCCCCGATCGCAAGCTCATCGGCGGGGACGATGGTGCGGAGGCAGAGCGACATCGACTGGTATAGCGTGTTTCTGTCCGCCTTTTCTCACGACGGCGCGGTCGACACCAGCTCCGACTCCCCCGTGCCAGCACCGCAAGCCCCCGCGTCTCCAGGTGGCCGCCAAAGGTTTGAGGAGCCGCACAACGAGTTCGAGCAGCGCTTCGGCCCCAGCGCGCCGGTTGATGATGGGCCGCACTTCCGACTCACCCGTGCAGCGACCAAGGTACGCACGCCTGCTAGCTCGCTCCTGTGCTCTTGCAACGAAAACGAGCTGTGGCGTTTGATTATCTGTGCGCTTTCTGCACCTTAGTTGTGTGCATACTGCGTAGGTTTTGTTCGCTCCCTTTATCAGCTATATCCCATCGGTTATTATTCAGAGTACCATTTCTCGCTTGGTTTGCAGGCTGCTATTGGTTTGGGACCAGATGTGGATGTTCCTGCTGCTTCTAAGGGCGTAGATGATTTCAGTAAGATTCCTACACTTGCCGTCGTTACCATTTTTAACCTTGCACATATGCGGATGGTTAAAGCTGGATTGGGAGAATTTGGGCTCATGTCATGGGGTTATTGAGTTTATCGCGGGAATGCATGCCATCCCCCGTGGAGTATCAATGAACAATACAGTCGTTGAATCTATTGTAGCTGTTCACTGATACAAGCTGTCACTGATTTGTTATATTTCATTTGTGTGTAGGTCCGGTAGATGAGGATGAGCAACGGGAACATGTGAGCCACGAACACTGTTCGAAGTCATCTCCCAAGTTTAGTGGGCAGAAGAAGAATGATGGCCAGGTAAAATACATTTTTTTCAACTCTTGCTTTGTTGATCCACATGCACCCCTATCTTGCTCCTATGCTCTTGTATCGAGCTGTATTCTTGTATCGAGCTGTGTTGTTTGATTATCTGTGCGTGTTCAGTTCTTGAAGTGTGTGCCTAGGTTTTGTGCGCTCCCTTTATGAGCTACATTGCGTTGATTATTCAGAGTACCATTTCTCGTTTGGTTTGCAGGCTCATATTGGTTTGGGACCGGATCTTCCTTCTGCTTCTAAGGGCGTATACGATTTCAGTAAGATTCCTACGCTTGCTGTCGTTATCATTTTTTAACCTTGCACGTCTGCAAGTGGTTAATACGTGTCTTGGCACTGTCGCGGGAAAAAAGTCTACAAGTGGTTAAAGGTGGATTGGGTGAATTTGGGCTCATGTCATGGGGTTATTGAATTTATCGTGGGAATGCATGCTATCTATGCGGAGTATCAAGCAGAATAAATCTGTCGTTAAATATGCTTTAGTTGTTCACTGCTAGGATCCTGGATCCTACCGCGACTGCGAAGAGCGTAGGGGTACGAGGTGGGAGGCTGAGGTTGGTGCCGTGGTGACGAGCGGCAGCGGCGCTAGGGTGAGCGGGCACGCGTGATCGCGAGAGGGAGAAGGGAGGCTCGGTAGATGGCCCTTGAGGCCAGGCAAGAATATTGCCTTGTTTCATTATTTCCAAAAGAGTCAAGGGATATTTATCCCTTCACCTTACAAGCAAATCAATCACGATCCTATAATTATGGAAATAGGAAAAATATCTAAAGATAGCCTATCCTGATCGCCTAGCCCCTGGCCGCCAGTCACTACGGGGAATGGGAGCTTTGTCATGTGCCTACGGCACACAACAAATAAACTAAAACACTCGGCAAACCCTTCACCATACGGCAAAAATTTATCGGCAAACTCACTTTGCCGAGTGTTTTTCGTCGGGCACTCGGCAAAGACGTTGCCGAGTGCCCAAAAAACACTCGGCAAACATTTTTCGCAAGAAATAAAAAAACAAATTGCCACCGGCCGCCGCCCACCACGGCCACCACGGCCACCACGCCGCCATGCCCGCTGCCCCACGCCGGACGCCGCCACGTCACGCGCCCACCACGGCCACCACACCACCAAGCCCCATGCCGGACGCCGCCCGCCACCACGCCACCCGTCCGCCACGCCGCACGCCACCCGCCAGATCCGGGAGAGGGGAGGGTTGGACGCCGGGACACCGCCGGATCCAGGAGGGGAGGGGCCGCCGCCGGATTTGGGGAAGGAGTGGAGGGGGCGGTGACAGGGAGAAGGGGAGGGGGCGGCGGCCGGGGGAAGGAGGGGTGGCCAGGCTGCCGGATCCGGCCGGGAGAGGGAGGGCCAGGGAAGAAGAAGGGGGAGGTCCGGATCTGGCCGGGAGAGGGAGGGCCGGATCCGGCCCGGAGAGGGAGGGTCGGGGAAGAAGAAGGGGAGGGAGCGCCGGGGAAGAAGAAGGGAGGGGAGGGGCGCCGGCAGGGGTCGGCCGGCGGCGGCGGCAGGGAGAGGCTCGGGTCCGGGAGGGGAGGGCCAGGGAAGAAGAAGGGGAAGGCGGGCTGGATCCGGCCGGGGGAGGGAGCGCCGGGAAGAAGAAGGGAGGGAGGGGGCGCTGGGGCCAGTAGGTGGTGGCAGCAGGAGAGGCTCGGGTCCCGGGACGGGAGGGGCGCCTGGGAGGGGAGTGGCACTCGGGAGCGGACGGGAGGGGCGCTGGGGAGGGGAGAGGGGTGGGGTGCTCGCGAGGGGAGGGGCGTTGGGGGATAAGTACGGGATTTTTTCGTTTGCCGAGTGTCCTGGATCTGGGCACTCAGCAAACTTTTTTTTTATTTTTTTTCTTCTCCTTCTATTTCAGAAAAAGATTTTTTTCATTTGCCGAGTGTCCTAGATCTGGGCACTCGGCAAACTTTTTATTTTTTTTCTTCTCCTTCTATTTCAGAAAAAGATTTTATTTCTTTCGCCGAGTGTCCTAGATCTGGGCACTCGGCAAACTTTTTTTTATTTTTTTTTCTTCTCCTTCTATTTCATAATAAATATTTTGTTTCTTTCACCGAGTGCAAAAAAGAAAACACTCGGCAAACCCCCGCTTTGCCAAGTGTTTTTTTTGACACTCGGCAAACCCCTGTTTTGCCGAGTGTTTTTTTTGCCGAGTGTTTTCAGCGCAGCACTCGGCAAAGAACTTGTTCGCCGAGTGCCCGAATTAATACACTCGGCAAATATAAAAACACTCGGTAAATTTGATGTTTCCGGTAGTGAGTGTGGCCTAGCCACTGGGTTGGCCCCGGTGTTGATACATGACGTCGGTCATAACATTCACTGATACAAGCAGTCACCGATTTGTTATGTTTCATTTATGTGTATAGGTCCGGTGGATGAGGATGAGCAGGGGGGACATGTGAGCCGCAAACATTGTTCGAAATCATCTCCCAAGTTTAGTGGGCACAAGAAGAATGATGGCCAGGTAAAATACACTTTTTTCAACCCCCCTTCTCTCTCTCTCTTGCTTTGTTTATCCACGGGCATCTCTCTCTTGGACATTTGTGACTTATGAGGGAATTGTGAATGCAGCTACCCTTGAATAAAAGGAGAAACCAAGGCCATGGTGGAAAAAGGAAACCTTCTGTGAACAAACGGAGGGCTCATGCCACTGATCCAGAGGAGTCTGATTATGAAAGTTCACTTCCCAGTAGATTCTCTAAGAGGTAGGCGTCCATTTTCCTTGTGTGTTTATAGACAAGTTATTTATGTTATTACCTTTCTAACTAGTAATTTTATGATTTTATCTGTGCATTTTGTACAACCATCTGGGTTAATGAAAATGTGACCTTATATGGAAATTTGTATGCTTTTTAAAGATATTCTCTGCCTTACTTAATAGTTATGTTTCACAAGCATTTGCATATTGTGCACGTATGGTCATATCTATTGGCATGTATGATGTACTAAATTATTATATTTATAACTTATTACTTCGGCCCATTTAGAAGTATCAATCATCAGCTCTAATCCTGCATCCTTCTATGCAGGAGGAAGCAACAGCTTCAGAATTCATCTTCTGTTCATTTTCGAAAGGTTGGTATTTGATAATAATTGTTAGAATGGCATTATCCTAGCCATTACTAGTTTTCATATCTCATTCATCTCGGGACTTAATAGCAGATCATATCTGCATGTAATTTTATAGGCTGTATTAATTATGCTACATTAGAGGATATTTTGTATTCTTCCCTTTTCATGTACACTCACTGTTTTATAAGTACTGCCTACAACAATAGAAAATTTATTCCCCCTATCTTCTTTCATGGTACCAGCCTAATTCATGATCTTGCTGCCAATCCTTCTCTCTTCCTGCTCCTCTCTTTCTTACCATGGGTGAGCACCCACAAGCATATCCTACTGCCACACTAGCTGCAACCATTGCTGCTGCTCTTCCCCATGAACGCCATGGCCCTTCAAGTGAACACCACCTCTCCATGACATACATGGACTCAGGTGCTTCTTAGCACCTCTACTCCAACTCTGGTAATCTCTCCACTCCTCAACACATGCCTCCTTCCGGAGTCATGGTTGGTGATGGTTCTCACCTAATACTGCCTCTGGCTCTACTCCAATCGTGTCTTCGTGGACCACTTCATCTAAACAATGTTCTTGTCTCACCATCTCTACAGCCACTTTGTAGCCACCGCATTGAGTAATGCATCTCATTGTATGCCGATGATGTTGTCTTGTTCGTTTGGCCAACACTGGAGGACTTATCAACGAACAAGACCATCCTGCAGTTGTTTGGAGACGCATCAGGGCTACAAACAAATGTGGCCCCAATACGATGCTAGGGTGACAAGCTCTCAGTGATCACTATGACCCTTCCCTGTGAGATCAAGGAATTCTCGTGCAAATATTTGGGTTTGCCGTTGTCGATAAGGAAGATGACAAGGCAGAATCACAACCCATCATTGACAAGATCCCCGATATGCTACATGGGTGGAAGGTAGCTCTGCTGAACACCACCGAGCGATCCGTCCTCATCCATGCAGTGCTCACCATCGTGCCGATCTACATGCTAATAGCCATGGATGTCCCCAAATGAGTGATTCGCGCAATTGACAAATGCTGTCAAGCATTCCTCTAGAAGGGACATCGGGATGTCAGTGGTGGGCATTGACCGATTGCTTGGGAAAGGGCTTGCAAGCCGATCAAGTTGGGAGGCTTTGGCATTCACAACTTGGAGACCTTGGGATGGGCTCTCGGAATGCGTTGGTTGTAGTTGAGCAAGACAGATCATACGCGGCCATGGGATAAGTTCGATGTTGCGATGCACCCTTGTGCCAAATCCATGTTTGCAATCTCGATCACTTCTATGGTGGGAAATGGGTAGAACACAAAGTTCTAGACAGACCTATGGCTCCACGGCAAGTCCGTCTAAGATCTAGTGCTGGATCTGATCCCTTCATCAAAAGGCGTGCTATGGGATGACGAAATGTGGCTGAGGCACTTCAAGATTGGACCTAGGTTCGCGACATTTCTGGAGGTCTCTCGGTTGCAGTGATTGTCAACTATCTATAGCTTTGAGATGGGTTTGGGACGATTTTAGCTGCTTGCGGACCTAGAAGACGTCCATGTATGGAGTCTGTCGAGCTCTGGTCTGGAGTCTGTCGAGCTCTAGTCTGTATACCACCTATAAGGAAAATGGACCCTAGGCCCATTTACTTTGGATTTTGGTGTTTGATGACCAACACAACCAAATTGAACTAATGAATTTGTAAGTGATTGTTTTGTAGTTTAATAGGGTGCGAGACGTGACTTGGACGAAGGCGACATGGTGATCTCACGATCAACACCATAAGCAAGACCCTAGAAGCACAAGAGAAGACCTAAGATATCAAGCAAAGTCTAAGCACGAAGATAGGAACCAAGCCGGATGCAAGATCGCGAAGAAACGAGCTTCACAGCACTGACCGGATGCTGGCGGCATAGCGACCGGACGCTCTGATCAAGAGGCTCAGCAACAGCAGGCATCAACAGCAGCGACCGGACGCTGAGGACTGAAAGTGACCGGACGCACCGATGGCACTATTCATTATCCCGGCAACACACTCAGCACTGACCGGATGCTGGTGGCAAATCGACCGGACGCAGGAATTGCAGCGTCCGATCGAGTACAGAGAGGTTCCAAAGCGGCAAAGTTGCGACTGGGCGCGTCCGGTGGCATGTGACCAGACGCCATCAGCGTTCGATCAGCTGATCGCGCACTCTAACGGTCGGGACGACCGGACGCGTTCGGTCAGGACGAAAGCAGCATCCGGTCAGTAGCAGAAAAGCAGGATTTCGTCCCCAACATCTACTTTCTCAGTGGGGCTTATAAATAGACCCCCCCCAACCGGCCATTTGAGAATAGTGGAGCTGAGGAAACATATCAAGGGTGTTGATACACCATTTTAGTGATCTCCACTTGCATAGTGCTTAGTAATTCATTAGGTGATTAGCGTAGGTGCTTTGCGAAGTGCTTAGATTGATTAGACCACCGCTTATGCGCTTGCTCTAGGTTTAGGCCTAGTGTTTAGTGAGGTTTGCATACCTCTTACCTCTCGGTGCTTGCGCGCACCATTGTTGTACACCGGAGGGGCTTGTAGTCTTGCGAGATCACACCAACTGCGTTTGTGGTGTGGCCGCCACCGTGTACCGAAGGGAACAAGGCCCTCGACGGTTCTGTCGGAAGCTTGATAGTAAAGACGGTGGGGAGCGGTCCGGGAGAGGCACACCGGAGACCCACTTGTACGTGGGGAAGGCCCGGGGCTATCCACGGAGTTACCCAACTAGGAGCTTGGCCCTTGCGAAGGGCTTCAACGAGGACTAGGGGAAAGCTTGCACGCTTCTCGATACCTTAGTAAAAATACCGAAGTCATCGATGGGAGTTTGCATATCTCTACCTTACTCTTTAGCTTCTGCATTTACATTGTTTACTTAACTCTTTTTGTGGTAGAGATAGCAACACACTAGCAAAACCATAGTTGCACATTTAGATAGTTTATCTTTTACATAAGTTTTGCTAAGGTTAGAAATAGAGGCCATAGTTTAGAGTTAGAGTTTTAAGTTGCCTAATTCACCCCCTCCCCTCTTAGGCGTCACGGTCCCCTTTCAATTGGTATCAGAGCTGGTTGAGCTGACGCTATTTAGAGTGGTTGGGATGGATACCTCTAGGCCTCCGCACTTTGACAGCACTAACTTTCTCTACTATAAAGCTAGAATGGCCTGTCACCTTGAGGCGGTAGATTTTGGTGTTTGGAGAGTCACTCGTGACGGGATGAAACCCATTAAGAATCCCGATAAACCCACAAAGAGTGAAGAAAAAGAAATTCATTTCAATGCTAGAGCTAAAAATTGCTTGTTTGAATCTTTTAGCATGGATGTGTTTAACCAAGTGTTCACTTTAAATACGGCACATGAAATTTGGTTAAAACTCTAAGAGCTCCATGACAGCACAACTAATGTCCATGATCAAAAACATTGTCTAGCTAAACAAAATTATGATTCCTTTAAAATGAATGATGATGAGCTTGTTCGTGATATGTATTCACGTTTGAATCTAATTATCAATGAGCTCCATTCAATAGGATTAACGAAGCTAGATGATGCGGGCATCGTGAGGAAGATCATCTCCGTGCTACCACATGAGAAATATGCAAGCATCATCACCATCCTTCACAATATGGAGGACTTGAGCACCATGACCCCGGCCATAGTCATTGGCAAAATAGTGGCATTTGAAATGTCATGCAAGATGGGTCAAGAAGAAGTCTCTTCATCAAGCAAAGGCAAAGCTCTCACATGTAGTAAAAAAAGAAGATGAAGGGTAAGCAAGTTGAGACAAGCTCAAGCTCAAGCTCCTCAAGTGAAGATGAAGAAGAAGAAGAAGATGATGATGATGATGATGATGAAGATTCAAGTGATGATGATCAATCTTCCTCCTCCACCTCCGACCTTGATGAAGAATCAATCAAACTTATCAACAAGGTGGAGAAGATGATTCAAAGGCTCAATGTCAAGGGTGTGCCCATCCAAATTCAAGATTTCATTTTCACCGATCAAAGAAATGAGCAAAGAAAGAAAGGATGCTATGGATGCGGTGAGTTGGGACACTTTGTGAAAGTTTGTCCAAACAAGCCCACACCCAAGACAAAGAAGAAGGCATGCAAGGACAAAGCCCTCACATCAATAAGGTCATGGGACGATTCTTCAAGTGAAGAAGAAGATCACCACAAGAGGCGAGGGCACAAGCACTCATCATCAAGCACCTCATGTGTGTGCCTTATGGCACGAGGTAACAAAAAGTCTATCCCTAGTGATAGTGACAATGATAGTGATGATGAGCTACCTTCTTATGATGAAATTGTACAAGAAAATCTTAACTTTGCTAAAGTTTGCACTAGTCAACAAAACAAGCTTGAAAAACTAAAAGAAAAACTAGATAGCTCACAACAAGCTTATGCTACTTTGCTTGAACAATATGAAATTTTTGCCAATCTTAATATGGAGCTATCAACTAAAATTGAACAACTTAAGGCTAGTGCAACAACAAGTGCATGCACAATCAATATTGAGCAACTTGTAAAGAAAAATAAAAAAATTAAAAGAAAAGTTAGCTAGCTCACAAGATGTTTATAAAAGTTTGCCTGCTAAAATGGAAACCATGTGCAAACATTGTGATGAGCTATCTAATAAAGTTGTTAATCTTGAAGTCGTCGGCACAACCCCCACCGAGGCACCTAAAAAGAAAAGTTCTATCTTTGACATGCCTAAAAAGGATGCCTGTACTTCTTGAAATGATTTATGTTTAGACTCACTCTTGTGCAACCAAGTTTGTGTTGAGAAAGTTGTTGTAGATACATGCACACAAGAGGTTGCAATGGAGAATGAGCAACTCAAGCAAGAAGTGGCTCGCCTCACCAAGGACTTGACTCAAGTGAAAGACAAGATGAAGCAAGCCCAACTTCATCAAGATAACACCGTCAAGAGAGTGAAGAAGCTTGATGAAGGACAAACTGTGGTTTGCTACGTATGTCACAAGGAAGGTC